CATTAAGGTTTAGGATTAGGATGAATGTAGATTGGCTCAGTTACGTTACGTCTCAAATATGCTTTTCTTCTTCTCCGATAAATATCAAAAGAGCTTATAAAGATTATACCGTATTTACTTAATAAGAAAATTATATAAGATATACTCTTTAAAATGATAATTAGATTGTTTTACTCAATTTTGAAAAGGCTAATATCACATACAAATTTACTTGCTGATAATTAATTTAGTGATATTTTCTTAATTATAAAATAATTGCATCACACATACATAGAGTTTATATAGTCTTGTACATCAAATAAACGTAATATTACTTTTGTCTTGTCATGTCATTTACAATCATTTAATATGATTTTTATTAACTTTCTTAGAGTCTCACATCGACTAGACACATTCAAACCTATTAGATTATAAGAGAGGGTAATTCTCTCATTCAATAAGACATTTTGCGTAAGGAGTCACGCCCACCTCGAATTCTAACATGGTATCAGAGCCCAGGTTTAATTGAGCTGAGCGTTTGACCAGCAGGTGAGAAATTAGAACCAGCAACTACCTCCAATAACAGACATGACCCAACATATGGGTTTGACCGTGAGGGGAAGTATTAGAGTCACATATCAACTAGGCACGCTTAAGCCTATTGGGTTATAAGAGGGGGTAATCCTCCAATTCAATAAAGCATTTTAGGTGAGGAGTCAGACACATCTCAAATTCTAATGCGAAGAATGCCTACCAAGGAAGCTTGATAAAGGGGCAGAAATTAAGACCAAAGAATACCAAGCAAGAGAGAATTGTAATTGTATGTTGTGTATTGTAACGAGTATATGAGCCAATTTATACAGTAGCTTTGAATACAATAAAGGCAATGAAATAATACAGTAAAGGAAATGCAATAAGCTCTTAATTACAAAATATTACACTGATCAATCAAATAATTGTAAATCAACAATTGCTTGATTCCAGCATAAATATCTCCAGCATTCCATATTTCATCACTCCCCCTCAAGTTGGTGGTTTGAAGATGTCAAAAACCCTAAGCTTGTGTAATAAATAAGAATGTTGACGACTACATGAAGTCTTCGTGAATATGTCTACTGGTTGTTCCGATGTTCGTATGTGCCTAATCTTGATAATTTCTTCCTGAATTTTTTCTCTGACGAAATGACAGTCAATTTCTATATGTTTGGTTGTTTCATGGAAAACTGGGTTTGTCGCGATATCATTTGCAGCTTTGTTATCGCAGTATAAAGTGACTGGTTTTCCTGTTTTCACTCCCAAATCTTTGACTAAACCAAGAATCTTGAAATCTCACACCGACTAGGTACACTTAAGCCTACTGGTTTATAAGAGGGGGTAATTCTTCCATTCAACAAGACCTTATTGGGTGAGGAGTCAGGCCCACCTCAAATTCTAACATGGTATCAGAGCTCAGGTTCAGTTGAGCTGAACGCTTGACCAGCGGGTGAGGAGTTAGAGCCAGCAACTACTTCCATCAATAGGCATGACCCAATATATGGGCTTGACTGTGAGAGGGAGTGTTGAAATCTCATACCGACTAGGCACACTCAAGCCTACTAGTTTATAAGAGGGGGTAATCCTTCTATTCAATAAAGCCTTATTAGGTGAAGAGTCAAACTCATCTCAAATTCTAATAATTTTTATATTAATTTATCCAATTATATCCTGTCATATTATTTTGTATATGTAAATTATTTGTTATAAAAACATAGAATGAATAAAATAATTTACCAAATTAATTGTCACATAAGTTAGGTATACGAAATTGAAATCTCAATTTTGTAGACATAAATAATTAGTATGAAAATAATAAAAATATAATTATTTTGAATTACGTTTGATAAATTCTATTTTTAAAATTGTTAAAAGTTTCAAAATTATAAATTATTTTTCATATTATTATTAATGAAAAATAAAAAAACAAAACAAAACTTATGTAAGTTGATGAAAATGATGGCCAGCAGCTGTTACCACCAGGACCAACGCGAGCAAATTTGTCAAAATATGAAAATCTAATATTCTAATGGAATCAGCGAAAAATCCATCGTCTTTTATGATCAAATGCCGCTTTAGAAGATGATGGATCATATTATTCAACAATGTTACAGACATCGGGGTTTTTACACTGAAATCTTGTATCGGTTTATATGTCCTGTGACTCACACCATTCAACACATTTTACATTATTAAATTGATATTTTTACCCTCCAATTTAAATATAACACCCACACACACACACAAATTTTTTTTTTACCATTTACTCTCTTCTTTGCAAACAAATTGTATTTTGTTTTTTTTTTTTTTTTTTCAGCAAATACAAATTAAAACTCTTATCAATTTTTAACAAAAAATCTATCATTTTTTTGTCTCTCTGACCAAACAAAATTCTATCCAATTTTTTTTTCCTCTCCCAAATCACGAGGTTTTCATTTTGAAAAAAAAAAAAAAAAACTCAACTGCTTTAACTTAAGTACCATAACCATGCATTTTATGCCCAAAAAACCGACATTGCAATCCCAACACCGAAGTTGGCCAAGCAATGGCCAAATCGTGAAGGTCCAAATCCGGTCAATGCAATCTATCATTGATAGACCCCACGGTTTTTTTTTTTGTTAATTGAGTTGTTCGGGTCAGTTTTGTTTTTGTTAATCGAGTTGTCCGAGTCAGCTTGTGTGCAGTTCAACTAATCTTTTGGGTTCATTGAACACTTTACAAGCCCAAAAAACTAAATAAGTCACAATGTTATTGTGGTAGGTAGTTTCAAGGTTTAAATTCAAAAACTCAAGAAATGGAGCAAACCTTCTTGATCGTTAGGCTAACCCCTTGAGGTTATACAAACCCCACGGTTGGTACTTAAAAGGAAGAAAGATAAGGAGGAGGAGGAAATGGGAGAAGGAAAGTGGAAGGATGGGGAGGAAGAAGAAGGTCGAGGAAGAAAAATAAATAAATAAAAAAAGAGAGAGAAAGAAAATTAGTTAGTATTTATGTAAAATTGAAAAGTCAAAATAACTAAACTAGAGAATGTTAAAAATACCTAAATATCTGTTAAATATAATTGAAAAAATTAATGAAAGAGGGTTAATATCTTTTTTTCCAAATCACCGGATGCTTACAAAAATAAAAATAATAAAATAAATGGGGGTTTTCGTAATTATCCCAATAAATTATGTTATTTATTTTAGTTCATTTTGTACTTTAAAGAATTTATATGATATACTTGTCATTTCTCATATGTAAAATCAACTTAAAAATAATTTTGGATGCGTTTGGTTCATTATTTTAGATAGGATTTTGGGAATAATATTGGGTAGTTGAATAGGGGAGTATTACGAGGTAAAATTTAAAAAATTATAAAAAAGCCCCTAAGTTTACTAATTTAATTAAACACCCTAACATATAAAATGACAAAAATACCCCTACCACCTGTAGTGCTAGATTCCGACCACCACCGTCGGAATCTAGCCAGAAAATCGCGTTACGACACATGCCGGTCGAATCTGTGTCGTAATGCGTCGTTATAGCATTTTCCGATCAGATCCACCACGGATCTAGCCAGAAAAGGTCAGATCTACGGCCTGCTATGGCAGTCGACGGCCAGAAAAGGCCAAAACGATGGCCATCTTTGACCATCAGCGACGGCCAAAGATATGGCAGTCGTTGACGGCCAGATCCACTGTGGATTTGGCTGGAAAAGGCCAGATCGGTGAATTACCGGTCAGTTCTGGTTGGTAAATCTGCCAAGTATGGGTCACGGGGGTATTTTTGTTATTTTTTAAACTTTTTTCAGGGGGCATTTAATGAAATTAATAACCTTATGGGGTCTAAAAGTAATTACAAAAATTTAGGTAATATTTCTGGAATAATGTGCCAAAGATTATTTGGAGAATAGGATTGAGAATATGGGCAGGAATAATGAACCAAACACGGCCTTGATTTTTCAAAAGTGTTACAAGAGAGCTTTTCAAATTCATTTATAAAATGAATTAACTTATAATTAACTTGAAACTTAATTACCTTCAAAAGTGATCTACTGGACACTTTAAGCTTAATCATTTCAACAATATTCAAATCGTTTAGTGAACTTTTTTTTTTTTTTTTTTTTTTTTTTGTTATTAAAATACATGGTACCAAATTGATAATCTCCTTATATATGTATAGACATATATAATATTACAATATCCAAATTTTAGGGTTGAATATATTTATAACATAAGAACAAAATTATTTATAGTTTTTCCATAACATTAAACAAATGAAATTTTAATATAAATTACAAATCTGATTTGAAGTAAAATTTGGATGTAAAAAGAACATAATAAAGTTGTAATTTTAGGATGGGATAATATTTATAGCATTCTTGTTTATAATTTTTAATAGTACTAAATAAATATAATTATAATATAATTACAAATCTGCTTTTATATAAAATTTTAAAAAAGATTTTGTTTCGAAAACAAAGAATTCAAAGAATTTTGTGGAGATTTGTTTTTTTAAGTATCTTCTAAAATAATTTTCAAATATAATAACAACAGTAAAAATTAAAAGAAAAATCGTTTTTTTTTTAAATTTAAATTGATAGCTTAAATTTTTTAAAATATCATATCATATCAATTTTTTAAAAATAATAATAAATAACTTGATTAATTCTTAAAAATTAATTTATTTAATTTTGATAAAATCAAACTGACTTTAAGTCTTTAACTCAGAAAGTGTCTTGACACGTCAGCATGTCTAGAAAGATCTACGGCCTAAGATGAATATAATCTTTGCGCGGGCCCATCAGCTGACGGTAATGATGCAATAAGTTAACGCGCCTATCACAAAGGCACACACCAGATCATCCCGGCGGGAAAAAAACCTAAGTGGCGGGAATAAATCGGGGACCAAAACATTAGTAATTAACAAAACTAATTTAAAAGCCTATTTCCACTCATTTCACCTTGTTTCAGAAAGCTCTAAAAGCGAAATCAAAGTTCAAAGTGTGTTTGGAGGCTAAAATGGGAAAGGGAAAGGGAAAGGGAAAGAAAACTAGGGTTTCTCATGAAGAAGAAGAAGAAGAAGAAATAAATCACGAGAATCTGAATGAATCTTCGACCAATGAGAAGAGCCTTTACGAGGTATCATTCCCAATTTTTATTTTCATTTTTATCTCGAACTTTTAATTTCTGTTTTGAACGCAATGCTTTGTTTTTGAAATGATTAGAAATTAGAACCTGGGTTTATTTTATTTGTTGCAGTGTTGTCACTATTATATTTGATATATCTGTAATTTATCAATGATCAGTTTATTATCTTGCTATTACTTGAAGTCGTAATGGAAGAGACAGCAAACGTAAACCATTAATAGAAACATAGTTCGGATAATTGGAATCATGAAGAGAAGTTTGCTATTGTTTATTTGCAATGATATTTTAAAAATATGAGAAATGTTCTAAATTTTTGGATGATGTAGAAGCTTAGATACTATCCCGGTGGTTAGGTTTTGCGTAGGAGAAAACAAATGATTATGAAGACGCTTCGGTTGAAGATCCCAGTGGATGGCTCTTTGTTGCTTGTTTGGATTTGTTCCTTGATTGGTTTTGAAGTGTTCTGTTCTTGAATGATAACCACTTAAAAAGCACCCTATTGGTATTAATGTGTCTGTGAGTATCAATTAAGAAAAATGTTAAACTCATGAGTGGAACCTTAATGTTTACACTCGACTAATCTTTTAGTGGAGACAGATGGGTGGGAATACGTAAATAGACATATTATAGTTTCTCTGGAAACTTCTTAAGAAGATATGCTTCATTTAATTTCTGTTGAGGTTCTACGTGGGTTTAAGTTCAGAAAGAAACTTTTGATCTCAAAATGATCTTCTTGAAGATTGTTTGTCTAGATTATGCTATCTCTGCGATTCTTTAGATACTTAAATAGCCAATGGGCATGAAATGTTAATATTTTTGTTTTCTTACTGGAAAACTTTCATGTGTGTATTTTTCTTTTGCTTTACACATAAATGGTTTCATTCTTAAACTCGATGATCATATACCATGGATTGCATGCTCACATATATTTAGATTCTAGTTTCAATACTTTCGGGTAAGCGGTTTTTTGACTAACTGTATTCACAATATAGTGTGTTTGGCTTTGAATAACCAGATATTTATCTTATTCCATCCTGTGCATTTTTCTTCACACATTGTTGTTTATTTTGAGGTTTCAACCTTTTTTATGAACGATTTGAATGCGAAGAAGCAGCATGTTTATTCCATATCAGGTGCAGTAAAGTTTAATCTTCTTAACCAATTACTTCAGCTAGCTTTGAAGTAGTTCTTTGTTTTAGTAGGTGAATGCTACTTCAAATATTTTATTTATTGCACTCGGACATTTAGGCTTATGCATGGTCACATCCATCCTTCATTGGTTTGCTATTATGTTCAATTTGTCTTATTAATTGTAGTGAAGCAAGCAAGATATATCAACTGATGGTTCTCTGCTTTTAGGTTCTTGGTGTTGAAAGGTCAGCATCTGAAAAGGAAATAAAGAAAGCATATTATAAGTTAGCCTTGCAACTCCATCCTGATAAAAATCCTGGGGATGAGGTAAAATTGGTCTGTATTGCTGTCAAATTTCATCTGAAGCATTTTATTAACCCTTTTTTTTTCTCTGTATTTGTATTCTGTCATATTTTCTTTCCACAGGAAGCAAAGGAGAAATTTCAACAATTGCAAAAGGTCATATCAATTCTTGGCGATGACGAGAAAAGGGCGCTTTATGATCAGACTGGTTGTGTTGATGACGCTGTGAGTACCAGCAACTTTTTGTTTGCATAACTTTGTTTTACTGAATTTAGTTTGGGCTAATTGATATCGATGGTGATAGAAAATTGTTTATCTGCTTTCTGCCACCTGAAGGAGTCTATCCTCCAGAATTCCTTTGTTATGAGACAAATTTATTTGTAGTGGAAAAAAAACTTAAACCATGTCAGACATTTGGAAAATTTGCCTTCCTAATATGAAGAAGAATTGTTTCACTATTTCAGACTTCGAGAAACAAATGAATTTTTTTTCATTTATTTGCCAATCAAATGAAAGATTCTGTCCTGGAATCTGAGAAATTCCTTAACTACCAAGGCATTGTGTATCTTATATTCTGTCTTTTTTGGTTGAGCAGGATCTTGCAGGTGATGTTGTTCAAAATTTGAAAGAATTTTTCGGAGCTATTTACAAAAAGGTTGTTAGCGATGCATTGTACAGGTGTACTTTATTGCTTTCCATTCCCATTTGTTGACAGTGTTTGCAAATATTTCAGGTTACTGAGGCTGATATTGAAGAGTTTGAAGCAAACTATAGGGGATCCGATTCAGAAAAGAAGGATTTGATTGATCTGTATAAGAAGTACAAGGGGCATATGAACAGGTAAAAGAACAATGTGTTTCTCCTTTTTTCCTTTTGACTTTGCTGGTTTGATGGTTTGAAATTCTGGTTACAGGCTCTTCTGTTCAATGCTCTGTTCGGATCCTAAACTTGATTCACATCGTTTCAAGGATATTCTTGATGAGGCACTAGGTGCAGGTAAAGCTTCATACGATATTGAGCTGTTGAATGTGTTTTCAATAAATTTTTGCATCTGAACTTTAACCCCACCTGCAACCTGAGTGGGCATGGATTGTCAGTTTCCCTTCCACCATAGAGTCCCATCTAAGAAAATTAAAATTTTGTAAATTATAAACATTCATTATTTTCTCGCACTTCCAATGTGATTGTGATACTAAATCTTCTTTTTCTTGTGTAGGAGAACTGAAAGCTACTAAAGCTTACCAAAAATGGGCTACAAAAGTATCTGAAACTAAACCACCAACCAGTCCTCTGAAAAGGAGGGGGAAGTGAGTTTTCTGCATTAGGGTCTTTTTACTGAATGCTTTTTGTATATTCTTTATGTCTCAACTGTTTATGTGACTTGGCCTTTTTTATTTTTAACAGAGCAAACAAGCAATCTGAGTCAGATCTAGTTGCAATTATATCTCAACGCCGAACTGAGAGGAAAGACCGGTTTGATTCCATGTTCTCATCATTGGTGTCTAAGTATGGTGGTGTTAGTGCAAATTCAGAACCCACTGATGAAGAATTTGAGGCTGCACAGAAGAAACTCGATAATCGAAGGGCCTCCAAAAAATCAAAGCGGAAGTAACTTTGCTTCAACAACATTTGCTTATGGTTGATTATGTACAAATTTTGATTCTGCAGCATTCGGCATATTTCTTTGTTCTATTCTGTAAGCCTGGCTTCTAACTGAATTCAAGCTAGACTGCCATATCTTGTTTATTTAATTATATATCCCAAAAAAAAAAAAAAAAAATTGTTCCCCAAGTAAACATATGAAAAATTTCAGTTGTCTATTTTTAAGCTTTGCGTCATAGAACATTTTAGGGACTTAAAGTTCAGTCATATCTAGGGATGAATTTCTGCATTACAGTTAAGAATATCTTTAAGGTGACTCTGGGCAATACCTGCAAAAGCAAAAAAATGAATTCTTGGAGCTATATAGGGTAAAACTTATGAAGATTGTAAGTTGTAATGATTGTTGATATGATAACAATTGATGAGTTCCAATGTACTACATTTCTCTTGTGGTTATGAGGCTTTCTGCTATGTACCAAGGAGATTTTCCTGTCTTTGAATATGCTAAGTCTATGCTATCTCCTTGAAATCTAGGCCAAGCCAGGTTCAATAAATTAAACTTGGCTTTTGTCTTTTTGTTGGTTGGTCCAACTGGCTAACTTCAAGGAGAAAAGTAGCAGAATTTCTTACCTAACAATGAATTGGATTCTTGTTAGCATTGATGCTGGCAATTTGTGATAGGTATGGTTATGGATACATAATCAGACAAACTTAAACAAAGGGTAATGCGTGTGTGTTTGGGAAAGTTGGTCCGTTGAAAAGGATTCATTGAAAGTTGAGTCCAGTGGACCAATTGATCTCTTTCCTTATACTGTGGTTAATTTACCAGTTCGGTGGTACCCTATGCTGCACAACTGCTGTGTCAAAATTTTGCATTTATGTTTATTTATGAGAAAACGAAGGTCTGCCTTACTTACCCTTTTTCACGCAAAAAGTTTTAAAATAACTCTTTTTCACGCAAAAAATTTCAAAATATTATTTTTTATTTAAAATTTATATTTTATTAATAATTAAAATATACTTTACTTTTCTAATTGGTATTCGACAAGTTACCAAGAGTCCAATAAGAGAGATTCTGTATAATAAAGGCCAGTGAATCGAATAATAGTAATTAATTGAATATTCATCGTCAGAATCAGCTAAGAATAAGAAATCTTAGGTTTGCGATGATTAACAATCGATAAGAAATCAAATACTAGAGTAAGAGAGGTTTTGTAGAGAGGAGACCAAATGTTTAAATGGTGGTGACAAAGAGAATAAAATATTAACTTTGGATAAGAAAATGGTACTTTGAAACTTTTTGGGTGAAAAAGTACCAATAAGGCAAACCTTGGGTGGGAAAAAGTCGTGTATTCTTTATCTAATGATATTTATTATGTCATGCGTCCGTAGCTAACATCTATACTATCAATCAAATGGGTTTAAATTAAATGGCGTTATTAATTAGAGTTAATTTAGTGATTATCATATGTAAAGTTACTCTTCTCACCGAAGATTTGCTGACCCTTTGTAGAAGTATCTCATTCTATTAAAGATAAAATTAAATAAAATTCTTCATTTAAGATCCCAAAAAACATCCATCATAAACTGTAATGACATTATACCTCATGATTTGACTCAAAAGCAAACATGGTTTTTAAAAAAGAAAATTATATATATACCCATATGCTCATTAATTAAGCAACAATTTAATAGCTTTTGTGTAACCTCCAAAACATATAACAAATGTGCATTCAACAAACCTTTTGTATTTTATTCCATGATGATCCTTGTTAATTAATTATTTGAAGAGTAAACGATATATTTCCACCCAAGGTTTGATGAAATCCTAAATTGGTGCCCCAAGTTACATTTATTCCAAATTCTCACCCTTAAAGTGACGGAAAAATGTTTGATATAACGGTAAAGGGGTAAATTGGTCATTTTACATGAGCGTCTCTGACGCACGTTAGCAGATGACATCCCTGACATTTTTCGCCCTTTTTCCGATGATTCTTCCACCAAAAATACCCTTGTCACCACCATTTGAACCCCCATCCTCCCCTCTACAAAACCATACCCTTCACAATCCCTCATCACTCGCCGATTGCTAGCCATAGAAACCGAGACATGCGACTGGTTTTTGTCGGTTTTCGGTTGTTTTGAACGGCAACAACCCTAACCACCACTACCATTTGACTCCTTGCATCCTCCCCTACAAAACCCCTAACCTTCTTAGCCACGACGGCTCACCGTTTGCCATCCACCACTTTACCAAAAAATGACCGATGAACACGAACTCTCGGCCGGTGAACGGCGACGAAACTGTTACTAGGGACATAGGGGTTTTATAGATTTGGAGATGGTAGTTGCAATGGTGGTGTCCAATTGGATTTTCACCATCGGAATCAACCGAAATCCAGCAAAGAACATCGAAACCCTAAGCCTAACGACGCCGATGATTGGAGGAGCCAATGAGTCTAGAACTAAAGGGGTTTTGGACAATGTTTTAAAACCTAACCTGGGGTGAAACCCAGCAAACCTTCCGGGTCTCAGGTTGACCGGTTTAACTGGTTTGACCACTGGTCAAACTGGTTGATAAAAACTTTTAAAATTAAGCAAATATACCCCTAAAAATTACAGCGAAGTCCTTATAGGTTTGAAATTTATCAAACACACCCAACTGCAAATCGACCGGTGACTGAATAGCGGCAGCGACACCCCAGATGCAACCCCAATCGTCCCTTGAGTCAATTTCCATCAAAATATACCCAAGATCTGGCTGAAATTGGTTTGATTTTGGCCAGATCTCACCAACGTCGACGTCGGCATTCCAAGCCAGATCCCATTGATTCCGGCAACAACAACCCTCCCCATCACCCCAGAATTACTCCTCTTTTCCTTCCGACCAAAACCCACCTCACCCCACCGCCATTAGCCTTGTCAATCGCCGGAAAAATCTAATCGTTGCCGCTACCAGTTTTGTTCGATTTCCGGTCGATTTACTCACCGGAAATCAACTCTTTCACTACCAATATATTCACCGGAAATTGCTCTTCAAAAGCCCCAACATGCCGACAGTTAATTGTTCACTGATCATCATCGGAAATCCTAGGGTATTGGATGAATAGGAAAAAATTAAACCCGGCCCGTTGAAGCTTCTGGGTCCCGGTTGAACCGACTGGGCTAGGTCGGGTCGGGTTTTAAAACATTGGTTTTGGATGACAGACTACGGGGAAGGTGATAGAGGTGACCAAGGGGTTCGACGCCATCGGAAACAATCCAGATTGGGCTGTTTCTGACGAGGGTGTATAGTAACCGAGGGTGTTTTTGACATAATTTGAAAATAAAATGATAAGTTATAATTCTACTAATTTAGGGTTAAGGGCATTATGGTAATTGCACCCTATAAACCCTAAAAATTGCTAATACTGTTATTTTAAGAGTAGGAATCTGGAATAAATGTAACCTGGAATACCAACTTGGGATTTCGTCAAACCTTGGGTGAGAATATATCGATTACTCTTATTTAAATAAACTGATCAAATCGAATAAATAGTATATAAACTCTAATAATAAATCTTATACATTATAGATACAATTTTTTTTATAGTTTTATAAATTAATGATTTTAAAATGTGGCAATTTAATTAATTAAATTGTTATAAGGTGGTACTGTACATTCTCTTTTTCTACTCAACAACCTTTAATTGCAATGAGTGCACAAATTAATTCCAACCCACTTTATATTAACAAAACCATAATTATTCCCAAAGCTGCATACAATGGATTTCTTTTTGGTAATAAAAGAAAAGTTTAAGCTATTAATCATGATCCTTAAGCCAACAACCACCCATTGCTGGCCAACCACAACTCAAAAAATAAATTTAAATTTAATAAAAAAAAGCTTCAAACTTTGTGTGATGTTAACTAAGGAAGATTCTAGCTTGCTAATAGGCCAATTCCAAGATGAGATTTTTATTCATTGCTTTTTAAGTTTTGTAAAGAAGCTGACTTCACAACTACATTCCATTCAATTAAAATCTTGGTTATGGAATGAATGTTGTTTTCTTATGAATCTGTAAATGCAAGCGAAGTTTTAATCTTTTTCTCTCTTTGGTCTTCAATGCCTGTCACCATATTCACTTTCTCTTTGTTTTTGGTTTTGTTGGATAATCAACTTACCAATTACGTATTATATATATATATATATATATATATGCTGTGCTTTTGTTGCTTTACTTCACTTGTCCTTCTCTCTCTTATTCTTTTTGGTAAGTCATCATCTTCCTAATTATCTTATTAGTGCTATATTGCCTTTATCTTTCTCTCTCAACTTGTTCTCTAAATTTCTAAAGCCATAATTAGTACTTATTTCTCTCACTTTACTCTACTTTATGTCTCTGTAACTATAACATTTTCTTAGTTTTTTGCAACTTCAACATTCTCAAGAGCCAGATATTAGTACTTATTTCTCTCACTTCTATTTCTTTAAATTCAGTTTGTATTACTAATTTTATCGACTTCTGCAAGTGGGTTTATAGTATTTTTATGTGTTTTGGCTTTTGAAGGTCCTCATGGAAACTGAAAATGGCGATATGAAGTCCAAGCTTGAAGATTATGAAGTGATTGAACAGATTGGAAGAGGAGCATTTGGGGCAGCTTTTCTTATTCTGCACAAAATTGAGAGAAAAAAGTAAGTAATTTTCTTTATTTTGATCTTCTTATCATCAAAATCATTGAAGAATTCAAATGAATAGTGAAATAAAATTCTTGGGAGATTACATTTTGAAGGACAAAAATTAGTGGGTTGGTGTAAAAATAATTTAATTTTACTTGTAATTTTATGCATATGGTATCTATCATTAGAAGATAAAGGCAAGACTGAAGGCGTTTGTTTTGTGCAACATTTTTCCAATCGAAACAGAAGTGTTTTATGAAAAACATGAGTTGATGTTGATTGAAGTTAGTGTCGGCACGATTGGCTGTCTGGTAGTGATGATTGACTTTAGTTTACGAAGTGTGTGGTTGTTAATTTTCTTATTATGTTAGGTATGTACTGAAGAAAATTCGCTTGGCCAAGCAGACTGAGAAATTCAAGCGTACAGCACATCAAGAGGTCACTTTCTTTGAATTCTTTCATTCAATTTTGTTACTTTATTTTAATGTTTTTGTTGACTGTTGAAGCAATTTCCATTCATATTAAGCTATATTAAAGAGTTTAGTGTTTACCCATGTTGCTTTTGTCTTTCTTTTCATATATTGTGAGTCCTTTTATCAAATATGTTCAATTTAAATAAGGTGATAATTACCTTCAAAACTAGTATGTGAAGTGGAAAGAAAAGGCCAAACCAAAAATAAATATAAATAGAAGTGGAGAAAAAGAGAGATTATAATTTGTGATAGTTGAGAGTTGGAAATGTTTCCAATAGAATGTGCATACAATGTCATTACGCTTAAGTTGTACTCCGGTCTAATGAAACAAGCTAGGTCTATATCTATTTCTAAGTATGATAAAAAAGTGTGGTTTTGAAAATTAATTTACCTTAACTCTGTTTTATTGGATGGACATGCCATTTAATTATAATAATATGTTATGGTCTCCTATCGAACACTTTCCTGATGATTCATATCTAAGAAGTTCATGACTGGTTAAGTGGCAAGAGAGTAAGAAAGGGTTGATTATGTAGAAAAATTAGATGCAGAGAAAGGAGAGAGAGTAGAAGTTGTAGTAGTTGAGAATCCAGAATCCGAGAGACTTTTTTCAGGGAACAAACATACCATGTTCTTATGCTTAGATGGTATATCTGCATGATGAAACATTGCTACGTTTTTATCAAATTCTAAAAGCTACTCTTGAGAATGTGAAAAAAGTCTGCAGGGGGCAAGTATACGGCTTCATGCTTAGGCGGTATGCTTGCATAATGAATCATTTTTAGTTCTATATCTGTTTTTAGAAATTATCAAGTATACCAGTGGTATCAGACAATTGAAAGAGTGCTTTTTGAAAATGGATTTACCACTTAAGTATTATAACGTGGTATGTCCATTCCACTTAGCTTTTCTTTATAATCATATCTAAAAGTTAATTATGGATTAAGTAGAGAGAGAGAGAGAGAAGCGGTTGTTTGAAAAAACTTTCCATAAAAGTGGAGTATATTTTGAAGCTTCTGGAAAAGTAGGAAGATCTTCTCTTTATTTTCTATTTTAGATTATTATAGGCATGGTGTTTTCAGTAATCAGTATCCTTTTACAATACTGTTATTCTCTTTTATTGTTATATATGAGAAACAATTTTTAAAACACATAGAATACAACTTTTTGAAATCAATGTAAAATTTGAAACATCCTAGGGATATTTTCAGAGTATTTGTAAAATACTGAATCAGTTTATCCAGTTACCATTTTTACTCAATAGTCTGCATTTCTGAAAATCTCTCTAAAATTTTGAATTGTTCACTTGGAGCTTATTCAGATGATACATGGAGCAATTCCAGAATATGTGGTTTAGTAGACAACTTATTTGACTCAAAAGATTTTTTTCAAATACCAAACTAATTCTTAGATTTTGAAAATAAAAAGTATTTTTCTCATTTCCATTGTAAAAACTGTTATGCAAAAAGTTTCCAAACAGGTTTTGAAGTGTATTTCTTAGAAAATCCTCATCTAGGCTTAAAGAGATCTGATAAAGTTAAAAGTCCTGGTTGTCCTACATGATGTTCGAAAAACACACATCTGGTCACCTGACAACCCCAGGTTGCTTATCTCTATCTTGCAAAATGGTTACTGTATTTATTATTTCATTAATTCCTCACTGCTTCTGCTGTTATTTCTTCTTATGCCAATTGATAGCTATTGTCTTTTAAGTTCTTACTAGAATTGCATCTTGCATTATGCTTTTTGTTTTACTTGTGATCTGTGTAGAACACCAAAAAAAGGCATGATGTTCTATGCAAAATGAAATGAACTGCAACTGGTTCATGGTAAAACTTATAGTTATTAAATACTTTTAAATCCTTTCCATCTTTTTATTTGACTTATTAACCTTCTGGGAAAAGGAAAAAGTGTCGGATAATCTAAACATCTTTGCTCCTACTACTCTAAAAATATCACGGTACTGATATGATTTTATTCAATTTTTTTTTTTTTTTTTTTCAATTTAATTTTTAAAGAAGATATGTTCTGTGGAGGACCTTCCTGGCATGGAAGGATAAATGGTTTCTAATGTTCAAGTTTCTAGCAGAAGTATTATTCCCTCAAAATATGTCTTAACTCATGTCGGAGATTGTTCATGTCCTTGTGTCCTGCAGATGGATTTGATTTCCAAATTGGATAACCCATATATTGTGGACNTTTTTTTTTTTTTTTTTCAATTTAATTTTTAAAGAAGATATGTTCTGTGGAGGACCTTCCTGGCATGGAAGGATAAATGGTTTCTAATGTTCAAGTTTCTAGCAGAAGTATTATTCCCTCAAAATATGTCTTAACTCATGTCGGAGATTGTTCATGTCCTTGTGTCCTGCAGATGGATTTGATTTCCAAATTGGATAACCCATATATTGTGGACTACAAAGATGCATGGGTAGACAAGGTAAATATGTTGTATATTCAGATCAACAAAGAATTCAAGCATTTCAAAATGGCTTTACAATAAATTAAAAAAGAAAAAAGTTGATTCTATAAAAACTATTGTTAACTTTATACTAAAATGTTTTGTGTCTCTCCAATGTTTCGTAGGGAAACTGTGTCTGTATTGTGACTGGCTACTGCGAAGGAGGAGACATGTAAGTTACTACCTTTATACCATTTTGTCATTAGTTCATTTTAAAAATGTGTTATGCTGGAGTCGATATGGATCCTTGGAATCAATCTTACTGATAAAAAGACAGTTTCTGCCATGAGTATATTAGTCATTTTGTACAGGGAATTTGAATGGAATGTCAATCTTTGCGTTAACACTAAACATGACGTGGCATAGCATTAAACATCTTGCTTATCGCTCACCTCCCTTTTATTTGTCACATGAGCCCTGACCCAGTGATAGGAGAGTGCTCAAGGAATATATCTAAATTCATCATCCTCTTTTTGTATGAAGTGGGAACCTTCTTAACAGTGGATATCTACTGGCGACATGATTATTTCACCTGTACACCTCACAGCAATTATACCTACTTATCTTCAATTTTACATTCTATCAAACAACATTAGATAAGAACACAAGTTTCTCTTCCCATACTGTTACCAAGAAAAATATTTTAGCTAGAGATTTTACCGTAATAAGATGCAAAGTGTAGTGTATTTATTTATTTCTTTAGATGATTGAATGAGAAAGAACATTTTTTCTTCTAACTTAGGGCTGAGATAATAAAGAAGGCCAGAGGAACATTCTTCTCAGAGGAGGTAATCCTTAAGATTCAATTAAAACCGGTCACATATCTGCACATAGATGAGTTGACGTTCACTCACAGTGAATTATTTTTGCTTTTGCTTCCCAGAAAATCTGTAAATGGCTAACCCAATTGTTGCTAGCTGTAGACTACCTACACTCCAACCGTGTCCTCCACAGAGATCTTAAGGTATAACTTTATCCATCCTTTGAATTTAAAAGAATTTATGAATAACATATTTAATATTTTTGATGTAACCTTGTTCAATTTCAGTGTTCCAACATATTCCTTACAAAGGAGAATGACATCCGTCTAGGTATGAAGGAATACAGAGTAAAGATTTTGTTTCTGCATCAGATTCGGCTTCCAGGTTCTAATAATTGTATGTCTTGTATGAACTATACAGGTGATTTCGGACTTGCAAAACTACTCAACACAGAAGACCTTGCTTCCTCAGTATGATCCATACTTTTCTCTAATGCAATAATATCACTTTTTTCGAGACCTTGATGTAACCATCGTTAAATGCTCTAGCACTCTGATTTTTCCTAGTTAATCATGCTTTTAGTCACAACAGGATAATGTGGTAGAAATTCTCTGAACAGCTGCTCTTTGTAAAATAACACTGAATACTAGTACATATTATGCAGACCTGAATAGATTTTGGTTATAATTTTTTAAAGAGTTTGTTTAAGTATATTACTAACTTTTGGTTATTCAGATTGTTTATGTTCATTGTCTTTTTGTATCATGCATAGGTTGTTGGCACTCCCAACTACATGTGCCCTGAGCTCCTAGCAGATATACCTTATGGCTATAAGTCTGATATATGGTCGCTTGGTAAGAAATCCAGAAATTTTGTTTTGAAAATACCAAAATCATATATATGGTCTTTACTAAAATTAGTATCTATATGTTGTTACAGGTTGCTGTATGTTTGAAATTGCTGCACACCAACCAGCATTTAGAGCGCCTGTAAGTTTTAGCTTGCGATATATGTAAAACATCAATGTCATTCAGCTATCGGTAAAAATGTCTATAAGTTGATTTTTTAAGATTTTGTAATAAAATACTTTTGTCTTGAGTCAACAGGATATGGCTGGACTCATCAACAAAATAAACAGATCCTCCATTTCTCCGCTCCCAATTGTGTATTCCTCCACACTGTAAGTATCTTCTCCAGCCCTATAGCATATATTAGCCGTTTCTCAATGACCACTTAAATGCATTTAATGCATGTATAATATGTTTGGTTCTCATACCTCTGTTAAATAAATCATTTTCAATCTAAATAAATGTATCTAATGGGAGGATGATTTATTGTCACAGGAAACAAATTATTAAAAGCATGCTAAGGAAGAACCCAGAACACAGACCAACAGTGAGTTTTAGTGACCCCAAGCTCATCTATGGTTAATGTAAATGCTATGATCAATACTAATACCTACACATTTTGAAATTTTAGTCTTCAGAACTGTTAAGGCATCCACATTTGCAGCCGTATCTCCTTAGGTGCCGAAACCCAGCTTCTGTTTATCTTCCAATAAAGCCCACAAACAATGTGAGGGAGAAAACACCAAGAAAATCGCCATCTAGCAAACAAAGTAGTGGCAGAGACAAGGTGGACAGAGAGGCGATAGCACCAAACCAGTTGGAAAAGACTTTTGAGAAAACTATTCATGGACAGCCAAACAGTTTACCACACAACAACCCAACTTCCACAACTAGTACGGAAGACAACCTTGAAACCAAGAAAGTTGATCCTACTAGCTATACATTGGAATTGGAAATATCTAGCTCTGTCACTAATTCTAAAGACAGGTCCACAGAAACTGAAATAATTGTTTGCAATGGAGACAAGCTAGCTAACTCTAATGGCACGCCTCAAAAGGACAGCACTGCCATTGAGGTAACTTCAGAGAGCACTCGAAATTCTAGGCATGCAGTACAGGAAGAACCTGCTGCTACTGCTGCACATTTTCAGCACTCACAAGAAGTTGGTGTCAAGACTGTGAGAACAGAAGATCAAGAACCAGTTTGCAATAAAGTTCCAGCAGAAGAACCTGAAATAGAGGCAGTGCATTCTGCGACAGAGGATAGCGAGAAGTTGATGATGCCCAGCCAAGGCTGCAATGACAACACTGAATCCCCTGATGATAAAAGCTCATCATCGGCAGTATATGAACCTGATGTACCACGTGAAAGCTGTTTACCAAAGATAAAAAGCCAAAATGGACATACCGGAGATTCTCATGTGGACTACTTGTCTGAGAGCAACGAGGTACTTCCTTGTAAAGATGATTTTAAAGCAAAAGCAGATAAAATTAGTTCCTTCATACAAGCAGCAGAAGATGGTGGCAATGGCGTTAATCTGACACCAAGCGACATCTCATTACTAAGTACTCTTACGGGGATATGCGGCGATGAAAGCAGGAGTGAATGGGAGAATCCAGGGCAACAAAGAGCTGATGCTTTAGAATCTCTTCTAGAACTATGCGCAAGGCTACTTAAGCAGGAAAAACTTGAAGAGCTTGCTGGTGTGCTAAAACCATTTGGTGAAGAAGCTGTCTCATCAAGAGAAACAGCAATTTGGTTGACAAAAAGCCTCATGTCTGCTCAAAAGTTTAATGGTGGAACCTAATTTTCAAGAAGTATTGCCATTAATTTATTCATTTTTGTGAGAAAGAAGTTAAATGTTTTGACGTAAATGCATTTCTTCCTGAGTGGTGTTTGATTGTATATTAGAAGATTGAAGTAAAAGAACAAAAACAAACAAAATTTGCAGATCGTTGAGGCTTTCATGGGAAATAAACTTGATTTTGGTTATTTATCACTATTACCTTGTTTATTTCCACTGGTGAAGCTCTCTCACTATTCAATTCATATGCATGATTGTACCCAACAATTAAAATCCTTGTAATTAAATTAAATAAATAATTTCATATTTATTTGTTTAAATAATTAGAGGATCATCAGAAGGGATGTGCAGATCTAGATAATGATTTAAGGAATAAAAATATTAGAATCTTATTGCAACTATAACGAAGGAATTATAAAATCCAATATATATGCCAAACTAATAATGAAACAAAGTTGGAAGACACAGAGACCTGCATCCTCTCTAATGTCAATCAGCAATCTATCCATCTTTCTCCTGTGGCTTCTATTGCAACGGCAATTTAATTCTTTGTTCCATCTTCATATTGGTAGAGTTTAATTAATACCGCAAGAAGAAAGTCAAGAAAGACAAAAGGGATGTCCCAACAAAGGATCCAAGAACCTGCAATGTTTGGGCTGCCCCACTGCTGGCTGGGCCTGATGCCGCCCCAGTAGTGGCAGCTGGGCCTGGGGCCATAGATGGGGAGCTTGTTGCCACTCCACCGGTGGCCACCCCATCTGTGACTGGGGTGGTGGCCAAGACGCAGCTGATGGTGGCAGCGGCCACCAGGACAGCGCAACAGATCTTCTTCATGTCCATGACGGATATTAGAGGATTATGAATATATATACTTGGCCTGAGGAAAAGAAGACAATGTTTTTGTTTTGTGTTGATTCTTTTAAGTTGATTAATGTATTTATATATTTTGGGTTGCTGTTTAGGTCTATATATGTAGGTGTGAGGAATGTATGTAGGAGGAATGGGTCATATTTAGGCAGAAATTGGTATTGTTGATCGAGGAAGTTTTTTTACGTGTTGGATTTTGCATGCATGCAGGAAATGGAATGTTGTAAAACTCAATTTTGGGGAAATGCTTTTATTGGATTTGCGGTATAATTTTTTTGTTTTTCTCACTATATATAGTAATATAGAATTTAGTATCCAACAAAACTAAATTTATCAATTTTATATTCGAAATGATTTTTCATGATAGTAAATTGAATTGATGAATTATTTTCTTCTTTTATATGTATAATTTTTGTATGGTGTTGGCTGAATCAGGATATTTGGCCCACAAAAGAGACGAGTGGATTCATTGTGTGACTTGAAAGACAAATTTAGTAAAGAACCGTTGCCCTCTAAAACGGCAGCCTACCTTTCGTTTTGGTGCCCACTTATTTTCACTTAAATTTATTCACACTCACATACTCTAGCCACAGACACTTCACCTTAATTATTTTCCTCCCTTACCCGATTCCAGCTTCTGATAATCATCCCCACCTATAAATCTTCTCATTGCCTTCTCTAATTAAACTGTAACCATTTTAAGCTGGCAAAAGCGAGTTCCCAACGGCAAGTAAAAGAGAGTAAATCCAATGCACTTCAGATCACTTTAACTAAATATTCCATCCAATCTCATCTCGTTGCAAATAACGTGGCACTTATTTATTTATTGACTTAAATAATTTGCTTAATTAAAAATGACATGTAAAGTTTAGAATCACATATCTCAAGTCACACTCTGTTGTACCTTACCTCTAAGCCGTGATCAAAACGCAAAGTTTTTGTCATAACACCGTGGTCCAGAAACTTGTACATCATGTTACACATTACCTAATTAGAATCTCTTTATATATTCTCAAGTTTCATGAAATCTTCCAAAATAAATTCTCTGAAGCTCTGAGTCAATTAGAAATAAGTGAAAATGGCAGAGCTTGGTGGGATTTTAATGGCGATGGTGGTGGCATTGTTGAGCGTTTTGCCTGCAAGTGTGGCTCAGGTAATCCCTCCAACACCGGCAATGGATACTGGAGCCGGGTTTGGTTTGGAAGTTTCATGGGCGATGGTAGTTTCTTCTATATTGGGATCTGTTCTTGCTCTTCTTTTTCTCAAGGATTGATTTAATTTATGAGATTGTGATATTCAAATTTCTTGCTTTATATACATATAGAGAGAGAGATTTGTGTATGATGATGATTTGGTTGTTGTTTTGGGATTTTTGATAGTTGTTTTTTTTAATTTGATGATGTATTGACTGGAGTGATTAAATACTATTAATAAATAAATTTCACACTTATTATTAGTTAATTAAGAGTTAATTGTCTTTGCGTTTCATATTGAAATCTTGTCACAAATAATATTCTTAAAATAGCTGAGCAAGAAAATAAAAAATAGAACAAAAGAGGACATCAATAAATTAAAAATCTTAAAAACGCCGTATAAGGGTTGCATTTTTGGTTTCTAACAAGAGAAAGTGATATTTTTTCTAAACTTAAATCAAAATTACTTACGAGTTAAACCTATTATAAACTAAATTTTTAACAATAATTAATTTCACATTATTTTTTTATTGTTAAGTTTGGAAGTTTTAAGGAGATTGATTGGATTAAATTAATTGTCAATAATAGATTCAAAAGTAAGTGTTTATATCTTTCATAATTTTAAACATGCTTTTGGTACTATAAATTACAAACCTAAATTCTATATATTTTTTTTTATAAATTTTTTCAATTAAATTAATAACTTAGGGAAAAATAATCAAAATAAATAAAATTTGAAAAGTAATTTACAAGAATTGACTACCAATGCTTGAAAGCACGTCTAGCAACACTGNCAATTAGTTTTTTGAAATCCTAAAACCATCGGTCGGATAAGAGCCCTAGTGACCACTTCTATTAATATTTGGGGAGATCAAATTCAAGAATTAATGAAATCTTCTTTTACTCTTTTATCATCAGACCACCAAATGATTAATAAAAATAAACTTACCTCAACCAAAAGTTGTCGGTGCTGCTTATAATTTTCCTTATTTTCTTGTATGAATGCTTCTATATATATATTGATATTGGTGGCTTCCAGATGACGAGTAATATGCAGCTCACCTAACCCTTTGGATCTGCAAATCCTTTTCCACTCTAGGAACGAAAAAGTGACCAATAATTCAACTGATTGGTTAGCCATATGGTTACAAATCTCGAGAATATATAATTCCATAGGTTACCACCAACAATTAATATTATATTTTTGCTTTTAGTTACATGACCAATACGTTATTTAGTCAGAGAAAGTGGAAATATTGGCAAAAGACTTGCATCTTATTTCTCCACAACGACAACAACGATCACCATGCATTTTAATATATATTATTAACAGCGTATTAGGCAGGGTAATTTAATTGGTGAATGAGTCACCGTCCAATTTAATTTTGAGTAAACGACATGTTCCCACCCAAGGTTTCGTGAAATGGCAAGTTTCCACTCATCTTTGGTTTCATAAATTTCAGATTTCCACGACTTTTAAATTAACTAAAAATTGTTTAATGTAACGATTATAGAGTAAAGTGATCATTTGCACTGTATTAAATTTGAAAAGAAAATGAAAATTTCAAAATAACCTTCCACATCTCAAATTTCTCTCACATGCACCCTTTTTCTACAACTCTTTCTCTTTCGTCGCTTCTTTCCCGCTCCCTCACCACAACCTCCCATTTCTCTCCCTAACCAGCAACCACGCCCCTCTCTCCCTCCCTAACCCTTAACCAAACCTTGATCTCCTTTCAGCACCACGTGAAGGCCTTGTAGCAGCTAGATTTGGCCTTTGCATGGGCCAAAAGCAATGGCCAAATGGCTGCTTCTTGGCCCTCGCGATGGCCAGATTTTGGCCGCCGCATGAGGGCCTCGTGGCGATTGGAAATCACCCCGACACCACCATTAGAATCACTCTAACACCCCATACCACTATTGCTTGCCAATCGCCGTCTGTGGTTTCGCACGACTATCCTAGAGTTTGGGGTCGTTTTTTCACTTGTTGGACTTGAGTTGTAGTTTGTGTTGATTGGTTGATTTGAAGTGTGTTTTTTTTGTTTGATTTGTGGTTGTTTCCCTGGCTATTATCCTTGTTGTCAGCTGATAACCTTGCCATTACGCACGCCTACCACCTATTCGATCAATTGCCTTAGCACCCAGACATCCTTATGCGTGCGAGCAGATTGCACACAACACACCCAACGCGCACATGTGGCTGGGTGGTGTGGCACTGGCTAGGTGGTTGGAGATGTGGATGATGTGAAGGTTGAAGAAGAGGGTATTATTGAAATAAATTTGAAAGTAAGATGGTTATTTCTAATTCTACTAATTTGGGGGTTAAAAAGTAACTTATTAATTTATTTGTCAAGGGCAGTATGATAATAACACCTTTTGCATCTGTGTCAATCTTAAAATCGTATTACTTTAAGGGTGAGAATCTAGAATTTATGAAATCAGGGGTGGGAACTTGTTATTTTGCGAAACCTTGGGTGGGATGGGAACATGTCGTTTACTCTTTAGTTTTTAACACCCCATAATGCAAACAAACTAAACTTTCAAAAGATTACATTAACACCCTATAATGCAAACAAACTAAACTTTCAAAAGATTACATTAACACCCCATAAGTAGTGTATCGCTACCATTAAGTGATTCGAAAACTAACTATCAGACCTCTTAAACTAACCACGGTTTATATATACATTGTATTACTAAATAAAGATTTAATTTGGTGTAACCATAAAGCATGAAACAAAGACGAACCAAAAGAACCAAAAATCTACTCCCTCCGTTTCTTTATAAATGTCATTTTGAGGGTATTAACTTTTTTAAAAATAAATGACGCTATCTTTTCTTTTTCAATGTTTCTCTGACCCACATCTCCATTCTCTACTTTGCCCCTCATCTTCTCTCCCCACTTTTTTCTATGGCTCACATCTCCTCTCTCTCTCTTTATCTATCTCTTCCCCTCATCTCCTCTCTTCCACATTTTCCATCGCCTACATCTCCTTTCTCTACTTTGCCCCTCATCTCCTCTCTCCACTTTATTCTATGGCCCACATCTCCTCTCCTTCTTTCTCTATCTCTTCCCTATCTCCTCTCTTCCACGTTTTCTATCACCGACGTCACCTTTCTCTCTTTCTCTATTCCACC